ACATGACATTTCTTTGCAAAGTTATGGAATTTACAAGAAAAGGTCAAATGTTCATTATCAGCTCAAAGCTACAAATATAAGACGGAAAAAATCGATTTAGGGCTTTTCTTGTAAATTCCATAACTTTGCAAAGAAATGTCATGTAGAGCTGGGCAATGTCTCATTTTGATCAGAATTTCGCGTGCTACAACTTTAACTTATTAAGAAAAGTTTTGGAGTTTCTGGAAAACTGGTTTTCTAGAAATCCAGTCTTTGGAGGCCTAGCGGTCCAAACCATTGTCATACTCGGATTCAGCACATTTTTTTACCTATTACCCACTAGCTTAGAGCTAAAAAGCGAGGTGGCAGTTGGTGACCTTCCCTCGTAAGACATAAGCAACTTGCCCAAAATTATTGCTGCGATTATCGCGGTCCAAATTCGTATACAGTAGTTTTGAAAGACAAAAACTCAGATCAACTTTTACTATTACAGTCAAAAAAGATCTTGTACATAATCTGCATCTCTTATTAAGTAAAAAGTCTGTTTCTCTGGAGACCGATCATCTAATTCAATTTACAATCAAAATTAAACTAAATCAAAAATATACCCCATTTCGTCAGATTGATAGAAATTAATTGCGTAACACTCTTTTTCTATATAATAGGAAAAAAATAACAATAACACATATCAGATTAACTTAAGGAGAGTCGATCCTTTTCATATCACTTGTTTCTCCGTTGGTATGAAAGTAAAAGTTGTTCTGATCATATGTCTATTTTTAAATTAATTTTTTTCTTTCTTAATGATAATAATGAAGAATAAAAATCAAATAAATTAAGGAAAAACAGTACAATATTAAAAATGGCTGCCTTATTATCAACAAAAATAATATTATAGTCAGGTGTCAGGACATCAACATGAGCTATGTTTATGCAAATCCAAACTATTATGGAATAAAAACTAATCTCAATAATCTTCTTCCTTTGTCTCTCGTGAATTTGAAAAACAAATATTTTATACCTTTTCCTGATCGTCCTAATGAAACTTCTATTAGTGAATCAATCTATAAAGTCAGACTACCTTTATAATTACCTCAGATATATTGACGTTTTTCAGATAAGAGGAGATTCTTAAAAAATTTCATTTGATGAAGTATTTAAGATCATGATAACAAAAAAAGCCAACTTTATCAGTAAAATACAGAAAGAATGTATTTTTTTTAATCCTATACTCAAACTATGAATGATTCCTATGGACGCTATTGCTGTCCTCCCATATATTTTAGTAGATAAACTCTCATTCATAAAAGAAATGAGATTTTATTCCTTCTTAAACGATTTCCTAGTGTCAACCAAAAGATAATGATAATAATTGTTAATCACTATTTGTTTTAATAAATGGATTATTGTATGTTAAATACAGTTTTAATAATTTTGATATATTTAGCTCTAAAATATCATTTGGATACGATTTAATTTGATCTTTAATTTTAATTCTACACATTGTTTTCAATTTTAATGTTTGATGTCTTAATTCTTTCAGTTTTGTTTGCGCATATGTCATATTCATTAAAATATTTTGAGTATCTAAAATAATCTTTTTATCTAATTCTGATATGGGTGATGAAGATAATGAAGTATAATCTTGTTGATACAACTGATTTTGTATTAATTTTTCGATAGATATTTCACCATTTTCAATTAGAGCAATAAAATAGCATTCTAAACGTAATTGAATTGTTTGTATCATTTGACTATTATGCGAAATATGTTGAGAATTTTGATTTTGTTGAATTGGTGCTAAAATAATAGTATTATCTGTAGTGATCATTGTTGAATTTTCACAACTACGTAAAACGTCGTAAAATAAGAAGATAGACCATGTCAAAGGACGAATGGTAATGTCAAATACATCACGTAAACGATATTTTAATAGAAATTCTTTACATGTCAAAATGTCAAATAGTTTATATTTTTTTGAATTAACTAATCCTGGTTCACGCATACCATAACGGGTTAATTTTCCATTTTTATTCAATAGAATATGTAAACAACGCATACGCTCTAATGATGGCTCGTCATAGGCCACATAGTAGACTAAATCTAATGGTGTACTACCAGACTGATTTTTAATATTAATACAATGAAATGGAGCATTTTCAATGACATATTCAAATAGATGTTCGGGTGCTTGACATGCTAAGTGAACACTTGTTTGACCAATGTTATCTTGAATATCAAATCGAGCACCATTCTTTATTAGAATATCTAACATGGGTATCGAGTAATGTTTATTAATAAATATTGACAATGGTGTTTGATTATTGTGCTTTTCAATTTTTTCATTAACATTAAAACCATAACGACATAATAATTCTAATTCTTTCATATTAATTGGTTCATAAAAATGCAAATCTATCATAGATGAACAAAACAAAGTTAGACGGAAACGCAAGGTATGAAGCAAGAAGAGTACAAGCACTTTCTCATGATGTAGTTAACATTGAAATGTTTGAGTCTTTAAAAAAGGCCGAAACCTGACGCATCTGAGTAGATTACAGTTAGTGTTATTTTAGTTATCAAGCAGATTAGCAGCAAATTATCGTTGAAGATAACTGAAAAGTAACCCAATTTCATTGTTACTATTTACGTAATAACTAAAGTAACAATAAGTATGACAATCACATTAGTGTGGACAAAGTGTCTAAAGACCAATTAACGAATCGCAATTTTTGGGCGTAAAAATGATGCAACAATTCGCATTTTACCATTGTTTTACGAATTCGTAGCGAATTCGTAATTCAATGCGAACTGACGCGAACTAACAAAAATGATCAAAACCGAACCAAAAAATTGCGTCTTTTCTTCCTTTTGCCAATTCGTAAATTAGGACGAATTCGTAAGAAAGAAATTTCCGGTACTTACGAATTCGTAAATCGAATTGGTCGACCATCGACGAATTCGTGAA